TGACTTGTTTAATAAAAAAAATCCCCATAAAAATAGTTGAAAAGCGAACTCCTAAGTACTTGTATTAGGTGTTGTGTTTGATCACAGATAACATTTTGCTGCTGTATCAATCATGTATATTAAGTAATAGTCCTGTGCAGCTTTTGGCTTTGTGCTGGCTAATTTTCAACACAGCAGTGACTGGTGTAGGGTGTCACTGGTGTCACTTGAGCTGTGCTGCGTGGTGCTGGCTGGCGAGGGGCGCCGCGGGGCTCCCTGACCCCGCGCCAGGGCAGCGGGTGGTGGCCCCCACGCTCCCCGTGTCCGGGGACCCCCGGGCTGTGAGGTGGGTGGTGAGCGACTGGGGAGGGGAGCGCGGGCGCTGAGGGCAGCGCGGGGGCAAGCGGGAGCTCACCTCCGGAAGGTTTTTCTGCCTCTCAGGAATGGAAAAGGTGAGAGGTGCACGGCAGTCAAAGTCTGAGAAGCACCGCGCACACACAGTGCCTCAGACACCGGAGCAGCAGCGTTTTTCCTCTCCCCCTGCCCCTTCTCCCCTTGCCGCTGCCAACGCCAAGCAAGTAAATTATCCTGTTCTTTCCTATTACTGGTTATTGAGCGCTTGGATAAGATGGAGTCAAATTATTTGCATGTTCAAAGAGAGAAGATAAAACTAGACTGCAGCATATTTTACGGCTTTTATAAAATTTTGATGTATGTTGTTGGAATAGATGGAAAGCCGCCACCAGAGCTTGAGGGCAGAGCTCCTCTCCGAGAACCTTGCTGCTGAATTAATGCAGGCAAATAGTAGAAAGCAAGAGTGTGCAGTTAAAGTTGGAAAAATAAATGTTTTATTTTTCTATCCGTATTGCCAAGTGGGAGAGGCAGCAGATTAAAAACATTCTGATTTTGGTGGAGCCTTAAGGTTGTACACATAGTGTTTGTGCCTCGGATTCGGACAGTTTCTCATTGGAAACTGGGAGGAGAAAGTATCGGGGAAGGGGAAGCGAAACGAACGTCGTTCAGACAACATGGGCTTTCGGGTGAGCGTGTGGACTTTTAAGCTTAAGTTTTAAACTTATTGTCAAAGTACGAGATTTTTCGGTGGAACTGAGACGTTCTTAGTGTCAGCTGTAACTACTCAGTCTGTCCCTCTGCTCCAGAGGTTTCTTTGTGCCCCGGGTGGGGACGGCTGTTCCCCCATGGGAACTCTTTGCCCTTTCAGCATGGTTACTTACGGCTTGAGATTTATTGAAGAGTCCCAGGCATCGGTAAAACAAACAAATACCCCAATTCCCTTTGTATTAAGCACCCTAAATGAACCCCAGGCAAGGGATAAGATTCTTCGTGCTGCCTCCGCGGCGGGGGCGCTGCTCTGGCGTTGCTGCTGGCTGGGGCGGGCTCCTGCCCAGCACAGCTCGGGGCTCTGCCTCACGGTCCCCTGCGTACCGGAGGGTAGATGCCCCGAAGGTCAGCGGTGTCCTGCCGCTCGCCGCAGTCCAGCTGTGCTGTGGTTTGGTCCGGAGGGGAGGCACCACATGTTTATCCACAACTGCGTGTTAAAAGCTTCTGAATGAGTGAGTCTGATTTCTTTTATGGATTCAGCGTTCATCTGTCAGTATTATTTACCTATCCGTGTGATGTGACGTGGCTTTGAGTCTAGCATGACTCCTTTCATTAAAAGCCTACAATTACCTCAAGATAACCTTCTTTTTTTTCCCCTCATTTTATTCATGAGTTTGACATTTCTGGTTGACACACTTCAAGCTTCACTTGGGTTTTGGGGAAGCAAATTTTTGTGCCTCTACAATGAGTGCATCATATTAGTATTCAGCATAGATGCCCTGTATCGCAGCTGGGTAGTTAAGGTAATGTCACGTAAGAACTGTTTGACACATTGCCAACCTTGCAGGCATTGTGTGCTTCAGAGCTGAGCTCCTGTCTTTAAAAGCTTCACTTCAGGAGCACATTTTTCAAGGTTGTGGTCTCTAATATTTATTTGTGTTTTGACAGGCAGGTGCCGGGCAGATTCTTGGGGAGCTCACGGTGTCCCGGGTTCTCTGGGCTTACAAACTTCTCATACTCCTCCCCCCAGCGCATCACAGAGCAGATTTTTTTGCAGCTAGTAAGATAGTTATGTTTAATATTCAGTATATCTGAATTTAATCATACTTAACCCACTGTAGGCACCATGAAGAATAAAATCATATTATTTTGCAATTTTACTGCAAATTATTTTGAGCATCATACCTAGAAATAACCAGGCACTAATATAACTAATGTGAGCGTGTTGTCGTTAGAGGTGCACTTACTCACTCTTGTTCAGTTGCCTGGTTGTACCTACAAACCGATTGTATGATTGCATGTGCATACAAATCTGTGACAGCTACAACATGTTTGGTTCAGGAAAGAAGAACTGGAAATTAAATGCTTGAGAAAGTATGCAAATGCCTGGAAAACAGTGAGAGCCCAAAATGCTTTGCAGTCTGAAAGCAGTCGAGGAGCCCAAGTGTTCTTTCTCTTACACGGGGACATACACAAGGCACCTAATCAGCTCTGCAAGGATTGTTAAGATAAATATCTTTTGGTTGCATTTTCAGTTCTAAATGAACAGTCTCAGCATTTGCATAATCGAAATTCTCCACTGCTCTAGCAGGAACGTGGCTGCTGCCATGTGAGGTGGCGTGAATTGCTCAGGATCTGCCACGTTGCATTATGCTGGCTTTTTTTGTTGTTTTAATGAATAAATTCCTGAGAAGGCTATTATTAATTAAGCTGCAATATGGCGTAGTTGGCTGGCAGTGAGGAGATGCTAACTTGATCTGAAGGACCCATCTGTAGGACTTTCAGAACCACAGCCCAGTCGTCGCCATACGCTGGAGGGAATTATTAGCAGCGTTTCAGTGTGTTACTGTGCCAAAAAGGTGCCTTTGGAAGAGAGAAATAAATTGGAAGCGTGGGGATTCATTGTGATGTGCCTGCCACAGGTAGGTAGCATGGGGACAGGAAGCAGTTCAATATATTAGAGTCTTGGGTTTGAATAGATGAAAAAAAATCCAGGCATATGCTAAACTATTCTCCACATGAATAACAGTTTCTAATTTGCTCGACACATCTCTAATAATCCTGGCAGTCTCTCTCTTCATAATTAACATCTTCATTTTGCTGCTTTCTAAAGGTGTGATGTGTACTCGGGCTCAGGGGGGTTCAGCTCCTGGTTCCAGCCGTGGGAAGTGGGAGTGGGCGCCGGGGGCGGGGGATGCTCCAGGGGTCCGAGGGCGCATCCTGGGGGTGCGGGAGCTCAGCACCCCGGGGGTAACGGCCACGGCCGGCCCTGGGCAGGGCCACGGAGGCACCAACAGAGGGGTAGAGTGAATTCTGTTTAACTCCTATGAAAAATGAAGCTCTCTTTAGAGAATGTGCAGATAACTAGACTGTGCCCTTCATAGGCGTGTGCCGCCGCTTGGATGCGGCAGTTCCTGGTCGGTGAAACGCTGCAGCACTGCCGGCACAGACCGGGCACCCGGGCGGCTCCCCTGCGGCCGCGAGCCATTCCTCCTGGAGAGACTCTGTGCCTGCAGCGGCCGTGTGAGACAGAGACACCCGCTTTGTAAAAGCATTTGTAAGTATCTCGTCGTTATCCCTATAAACTAAAAAACGTGTATTCAGAGCTGGTCCTGCGTAACGTGTTCTAAATCTCCTTTCCAGAAAGCGGCGAGTTCCAAGGTGTCTGGGGCTGATCCCTCACAGCTTCTCCAGCTTCACAACTGTGGGTGACGGGTGGTGGGTCCTGTCCGGCTGGAATGGGCTGCCCAGGGCAGGGGGGAGTCCCCGGGATCCCTGGAGGGGTTGAAGAGTCGGGCTGAGCCAGCGCTGAGGGATCTGGGGGAGTTGGGAAGGGTCAGGGTGGGGGTCATGGTTGGGCTGGAGGAGCTGCAAGGGCTTTTCCAGCCCAGATGATTCTGGGGTTCTGAGGCCCTACCTGGAGCTCCCCGGGCAGCACCCGCTTCCCAGCGGGCACAGCCCTCGCCCACCTTGTCGGAGCCTGGGCCCGCCGAGGGCAGGAGGAGAGTGATGCTGGGGGGTGGGAGCGGCGCGGGGGGTGTTCGTGCAGGAGCTGCCCCGCTGGCAGCAGTGGTCTCATCCTTGGGGCACGTCATCCAAGCGCTGGCAGCCCGGTCCATGCCTGCTGCCGGCACCTCCCGCAGCCCCAGCGACATTTAGCTCGCAGCACCCCCCCCCATACTGCCTCGCAGCAGAGAAACTGCCTGCACGAATTATCCCTGGAATACAAAAGTTATTTTCCTCCCACAGCTTCTCCTATCTCCGTGACCTAGTTACTGACTCAGTACATGCAGAAAGCCACGGGAGTGAAAAACAGATATCTATTTGAATAAGAAAAGTTGATTACTATTTTAAGCCCCTTATCATGTAGAAGCATTTCAAGCTCAAACACTCTACTCATCTATAACACTGAGATAACTATAAAGGCTTCTCCCTCCCTGTCCTACAGTTTGACAGTACTGGAGTTTCAGGCAATTAAAATCCCTTCACACGTCTCTAGTGTACCTGTTGTAATCGCTGTATTCTCAGGCCAACGTGATTCAGACTTGAAACAGCAAATTAATTTGTTTAGAGGAGGTTTTATAGGGTGGTGTGGTTTTTTTTTTTTACCTAGTTGGTGCAAGGTGAATATTTCAGATGGATTAATTTAATTAAATGACACCTGAATTACTGTACTGCTTTGGGACAGAGGCAAGGAAAAGCCTCGGTGTCGGTAACTGATGCAGATAAGACCTTTGGGGTTTTTTTCTGTCCTTTAGAAGAAAGCTGCAGCCTTTCCCCTGAGCACTCCCAGAGCAGATGAGGAATATGCTGGAGATGCCAATCTTCAGCTTCAGAGGCTCAGGACACGCATCTCCTGAGCGCCGGGGCTCGGGGCGGGTGTGCGGTGCTGCTGGGGGCACGGGCGGTGGGGGCTCTGCCACCCCCTCTCTGAGCCGGGGCAGCACCTTTCAGGCAGCTCTGAGGAGCTGAGGGAGCGAGCTGAGGTGAGGGCTGGGGTCCTTTAGGACTGAGGGGCTGAACTTTTACAGGTCTCGGTTAGGCAGAGCTCAACCTGCCCCAGTTCTGGCCCTTCTCCAAGGAACATGCAGATTGAGGTCGGGCTTCAGTTAAAGGTGAGCACGAAGTTCTTCCTCCCCTGGGACTTCAGCGCCTTTGTAAAATGTGAGCCATGCGTCAATTCTTGACTAAAAGGAGATACATATTTTATATTCAGGTACTCCTGGGTAGCAGTGCCTGTACTGGGTTATGTATGCGCTCAGGTCTGAGTAAAACCTCAGTCCCAGATGTAAGCTCGAGCTTTGTGGTCCCAGTGAGGCACAAACCGATGCCGCCAGCCCTGGGGCCCTCTGGGAGCAGCCAGCTCTGACGCTCTGCAGCTCAGCCCTGTCTCCACTCTTGTGCTGGCATTGCCTCCGAGTGGCATATCAGCTCTAGGAGGGAGCAAAGTGCACTTTAAGTTAGATTTATTTATTTTTTTCTTCCCCCTGAGTACTTCATAAAGCTCCTCAGGCGATGGCTGTGTGGCGGTGGGATGAGGAGCCTGTGGTCACCTGGCTCTGTCTGGCCTCCTCGGAGGGGCAGGTGAGCGTGTGTGGCAGTGTCCCCCGAGCCAGCAGCTCCAGACTCCCGGCAGCGGCCCCAAACCCCGAGCCAGCGGCTCGTCCCTCTCGAGAGGCGATGTCACCGCGAGGATGATGGATCCGGCGGCAGCCGGGTGACCCAGGGATGTTATCTCAAAAAGACAGGCTGCAGCCTGTGATTGATAACACAGGAAACCCAAATGACAGGCAGGAGGCAATTTGAAAAAGAACTTGTGCAAAGAAAACGGGGGGAAAAAAGCCCCTCAGTCCCATAACGCTACACTGCTTCACTTGCCTTCCATTTTTCCCAGAGAAGCAAAGTGATTTTCAGTTGTTCTTGCTTTCCCCAGGGTGCTCCTGGGGATATTTATGACTGAATAAACATATTCTCCCCTGCAACCTCTATTTCTGTTTTGTTCTATCCAGTAACTGCACATCTGTTTCTGATTGAGAGCTCACTTGAGTGTGAAGCAGAAAGCGGCCGAGTGACTTCACCGTGTCCCGCTAGAGCGAGGGATGGAAGAGCCAGAGCCTGGAGACACGAGCAGGGAGACTGTGGTTCTTGGCGTAGTGTCTCTGATGGGGGTGCCTTGGGACCTGGAATACAGTTGACAGAATATGCCAAGGTATGAAAGGTTTTTGTCTGTTTTTCAGTGCTTCCCCACCCCTTCAGTCTGGGTGAAATCTCTCCACACCTCCTCTCCATAAAATGATGGGTGGGACGACCCCCCCCCCCGTCTGTCCTCCCCACAGAGCTCCCGTTCAGGGGCGGGACACGGCGGGAATCCCCGCGGCAGAGCTGAACGTGGCACTGCCCGGTCCTGTGTACGGAGTTAAAATGACCCGGTACCTGCCCCGTGGGCAGCTCGTCCTGGGCACGGAGCACACAGCCAGGACCTGGAACCCCCCCCCCTCACACGCGCGAGCCTGGCCTAAGGTGCTGCCGCTGCGCAGAGGTGTTTCCCTGAGAAAGGGAGAGGTGGCTTAGCTGGCTCTGAAAACCTTTTTGTGTGAGGAAACACACCTTCTCTCCAGATCCCTCACCTGGGGTGTTTACATCTCTGTTCTAGTCACTGGGTTTTTTTGAACCAAGGATCAAAGGCAGCTGTTGCATGCTGGCTTTGGGGAGATGCTCCATCTTTCTGGGTGGGTTTCATCAGTCAAGGCGTGCCCGATGTGGTGCATGATACCAGGGGTTAAAGAGGACCAGGGTGCTGCTTGTCCTTCCCTTTGCCATGCCTGTCTGACCATGTTTGACATCTTCAGCAAGTGATAGCAGGGAAGTTCAGGAGGCATTTGGCATTCCTGTACTTGGCTTTGAAAGCTGTGTAAAGCTTCAAAACAGCAAAAGCAACAGCCCCAGCTGCATAATACTAATTTTATGTTGCAGTTTCATTTAGATAAATTACTCCTGTGAGTTCCTAATAAAAACAGATGTTGGCTTGTGTCAAAATTAGTGAACCATTCTGATAACAGGAGCAGCTATTTTTAGTTTTACGTTAACCCAGTTCAGCCTTACATCAAGTTGTATTAAAGGATACAAATAGGATCCGTGCTGGTTATTCATTTGCTTCCAAACATGCCAAAACCTTCTCTTCTGCTTAGCACAGTAGGTGGGATAAGGGAGTAGCTGGAAGGCAAGTTATTCGTCAAGTCTCGGGCAGCACTTGTCATCTGGTGTGCTCGTAGCTGGCGTGGGAGTGTTAATTAGGGAGCGCAGCCAAGGGCCACCAGAGCCGTGGGCCGAGGAACCCACCCTGCAGGTGCCCCTTGCCCGGCTGCGGCGCTGCGCGGCTGGCTGGGGCCGCCCGGGCCCGGGGCATGCGGCTCCCTAACTCGCCTTGGTGGCATCTTCCTCCGGGAGCAGAGGCACCGCCCGTCCCGTCCTGCCCGCTTGTCTTTGCCCTTCCAACCTATCCAGCAAGATGTGGGTTCATTCCGATGCGATTTGAAGCCTCGGGGTGCGTGGCTGGGCTCTCAGAAGGGGGTTTCTTCAGGTGCTGGGGCTGGGCGTCCTGCCTGAGCAGCTCCGTGAAGTCTGGAGCCGCTCCAGACTGCGGCAGCTTCTTGGAAACTTCACCCCATCACCCCAACAGTCCCCGTATAGAGTCACGTTGTATCAAGTTTCGTTTTGTCCCAAAGCAACTTAAGGAAGGAGAGATGCAATGTAAACACAGAAACACCCGGCCCTGGCTCTTTTTCCCCTCAATTTAGTTCAGAGTGTAGAGAATAAGCTTTATAACGATTCTTGAGTTTTGTAAGGTTTTTTTGGTTTTGCTGACTCCCTTTTCCAAATTTTAGATTTTATCAACTAATTGTTGCTTTGACATTAAGTGCACTGCTGCAAACAATTAGCATGCACAATTAAATCTCTGTTTATACCAATTTTTCTCTTTGTGGGAAAAGTTTTATTTCAGCTCCTCATTATTTTAAAGCAATTTGCAGAAAAAAGTACCATTAGGAAAATAAGGCTGATGGCATTTGGGGTGAGCTGAACGCGCTGTTAAGCAAATCAGAAATTAGTGTAAATTTCTTTCATTTGACTTCATTTGCTGCAGATCAAGTTTGATACTAATGATAAAAAATAGG